CGCCTCCTGCAAAAGCCGGAGACCGAGAAAAAGTTTGTGCGAATTCCTAAACACTCTGAACAGGACCAGAAAGGCTACTAGACTCGGCGCGCATCAAGATGTTTACAAAGTTCATGCTTTGCCCAAACTATTCTGAGATCCGAGGTCAGCCGACCTACCTCCGATCCGTCGGGAGTGGCTACCTCAGTTGCCTCCGGCCGTGGGTTTGCTTCGATCTCCATACCAGCATGTACTGCTGCCTCTGCTGCCGCCTCCTGAAAAAGCCGGAGACCGAAGAAAGTTTGCGCGAATTTCTGAACATCCTGAAGATGACAAAGAAGGCTACTAAACTCAGCACGCATCCCGACGTTTATGATGTTCACGCTTTTGCCCAAACTATTCTGAGATCCGAGGTCAGTAGACCCACCTCCGACCCGTCGCGAGTGGCCTCCTCAGTTGCCTCCGGCCGTGGCTCAAGTTGTCCGATCTCCATACCAGCCTCTGCCTCTACCTCTGCCTCCGCCTCTGCTGCCGCCACTTGGAAAAGCCGGTGACCGAGAAAAGTTTGCGCAAATTCATGAACACTCTGAACAGGACCAGAAAGGCTAATAGACTTGGCGAACTTCAAGATGTTTACAAAGTTCATACTTTGCCCAAACTATTCTCAGAGAACTTCAAGATGTTTACAAAGTTCATACTTTGCCCAAACTATTCTCAGATCCAAGGTCAGTAGACCTACTTCTGGATCGTCGCAGGTGGCTTCAACATCTGCCTCTGGGTGTGGGTTTGCTTTGATCTCCATAGCAGCATGTACTGCCGCCTCTGCTGCCACCTTATTCAAAAGCTGGACACCGAGAAATTGCCGCGACATCGGGCAATTCGATAATTACGAACATCGAATCGAAACGGTACTTAGGGACAAGGCACCGGTCAAAACAATCAAGTAATGCGACCGAGTTGCCACCCACTGCGCAGTGCATAGGCTTACGGACAAGCAGCCCACGGAATAAGTACGAACAGGGCCAAAAGGTCGACCGCCGTAAATGCACAGGAAACCCTAGCGGGTAAAAAGGTTGGTAGAAGGGGCTTGGTGATTTCCGAACTTTAAGATGGTACTTGCCATTGAGTCGAACAGTTCCAGTCAAATTGCAAGTGGGCACTGCTATGTAGATTTTCC